TTTTCCCTTGATCTTACAAGTTATCTATGTAATGACTCACTAAACACCTCATATTTTTGCATCGGTATTTATATGCATGAATATAATTTATGATGCAATTTCTATGATGGAGGTTAAATTAGAATTATAAGCAATTTAACAAGAATGCAATATGTCAGTTATAATACATGAAAATCCAGCACACAAAGAGAAACTCTATTCTGGGGTGAACTTTCAGCAGGCTCTGAAATCTTAATTGCACCCAAAAGGTTTCTGAGCACTTCTGCTTGCAGCATGAAAAATGAATGTACTCACAGAGTTAGAGGCCTCAGTTAAGGAGGCCAACTAAAATTCTGGCCCTGTCCATTTTGGTCTGGTTAAGGAAATAATAAGAGACTAACATTCCAAGTAGAGAATCGTAATTCATAACCGCTGTCTTTTCCATATTTCAATACACAGAATAAATGAATAAACTGTTAGCAGTGCCAGTTCTTACCACAAAGATGCACTGTTTTAAACTGCAGTGGAAACCTACACGTGCAAGTCCTGCGCAATTGTGAAGTTTTGCTACCAGCTCAAAAAAATCTGAAGTAGAATCCGTTCACAAATGCTATATAAAGTATACATTCTCCCTCTCTTTTTACACATATGCATGCGTAAACACACTATATACACACACACACACTATATCACACAGTGCAAATAAATACCAAAGTACCAGACCCACAAATCCAAACTTCTACATAACTACCAAATTCTACAGATCTTGCACTATGAAACACTGAAAAGTTTGATTTAAATGTTATGTTGTATACGAGCAGAGGAGGGCAGTCACTCTGCCTATACAGGAGGATTAATACCAACCATAATTCTTTACAGTTTATCCCCTCAACAAAGAGATTCAATTCCATAATTTTCAGTTCAAAAAGTCTAATATGAAACACTGGGTAGTAAGGCTCACCCAAATGCACACAAACACACACGCATATACACGAAATCAGCTAACGATAAAGCCCCATTTATAAACAGATTATTTATCAATTGCCTGGGTTGAAAACTAGCAGAGAGAAGACTGGACATATAAAAAAAATAACAAGTTTAGCCATTTAGGTTGCTCGAGATCCCTTTTCCTATGAAGGTCACTCACTGCTGTTGGAAATGTCGAGAGGGGAAAGTATCTCTAGCCAACAAATCCGGGCAATTGCAGGAGTGCCAGAAATCTCACTACTAATCAGAAAAATAACCGTGCAGCACTTCAAACCGTAACAGAGCCTAAAATTAGTCACTACTACTATAATATTACGAATTGCCTTTCTATAAAGAATTGGCTTTGGGAAACATTTAGTCTTATCTTTCATCAAATTGGACTTGTATTTTATGTATTTTTCATTTGTTCTTCAGGTTGTGCTACAATCCCGTAATGAAGTAAGGGATAGATGAGACATTTCCCAGCAATATAGCTTTATTCTGCCAGAAGACTTCAGGAGATCCAACTCCAGCAACTGCATCTAGTTTATTTTGTTCACAAGACTGCTGTAACTGTGGCAGCTAGAAAAACTGAAGATCATTGTCACTTCTTGAGGAAAGTTGAGGCTTTGCTGTGATGACAAAATGCCAGAATCTAAGTAATTTACAAAACCTTATTTCCCAAAACTTCTTTTGAAAGATAAAGTCTCATGAGGAAAAAAAAAAAAAAAAAAAAAGTATCAACTGTATCAACTTAAGGATATAAATAGCAGAAACAAACAAAAAAACACACTTTGTTTTGCTATGATGAAGAATTTCCCAGAATATATTTACAAGAATATTGTCTAACTTATCACCATATGCATACCATTAAAAACCACGAGTCCTTGTTGTATCTGTGGGCAAGGCTGCAACATCTAACAAATCCAAATAGAAATAAAAGGTCCCTACCAAGTCTCTCAGAAGGAGAATAACTTGAAGATGAATGATCTGATTTTTATTTTCAAAAAGGAAAGTCTTCTTAGCTCTTAAATATTAAGTAGTGCTCCAATTTGTATTAAATATTTCTTTCCAGAGTAACTCTTTACTCCTGTTTATTATTTATGCTTCAAATGGTCTCTCAGTGCTCCCTCTGTTGCATCATTTGTTTTCTTTATGCAACCAGCTCCTGTTAAACTCCAGCTGAGCAAACGAAGCCATTTCTTTGTGCTTCGGGTAGTTTCCAGAATCTCTCAGCTTCTCAAACATGTTCAAGGTGGCAATTCTCTCTCTGCAAGTTACTAGAGCAACACAAAAGACTTGCCACTTTTGTAATTTTATTTCTTCCATTGCCATCCCAAGGCTATGATAGGTTTTGATATAGTAAGTATATAACACATAGGGGCATATTATGGAGTAGTAGCATTTTGAATTTCTTATCTAGATGAAGATCTATCAACTCTTCAAAATTCCTGTCTGCCAGAGAAGAACTTGCTCCCAGAGTTGGCACCATGAGTACATCCTTATATCTGCTGTCAAAAATACTATCTAGAGACACAGAGTATCCTATAAAAACAGAATTTCAATACAGAAAAAAATCTATTTTCTGTTTTATAAGGTTTTAATTATTAGGCAACCAAGACCATCAGATTCTGTAGGAAGCAAGAGTTCATTAAGGTAGCTAAACAGGAAAACTTTCTAAACCCGGAAGATGCTCGTTACATAGGGTCTTCTCACCTAGTGTGCAGAAATGACTATATAGACTGTATGAAGTGTGTGCACAAAATTTCTTCTTCATATTTTAAAATTACTGCATTTTTGTTCCAGAATCCAAGTTCTATAGAACTCTGAACTGAACTAGTCATTTTGTTAAGGGAAAAAACAACAACAACAAAACCCACTTTATCTTTTTCTATTAATTTACTGTTAAAAGATTAGGAATTTGTAAGTCTAAAAGCTCTGCATGGACAGCACCTATCTGTTGTGTTCATTGACTTGCCTTAGAGCTAGAACACCAAACTGGGGAGAAAGCACCCATCGTTCGGGGAAAACTGAACTGAAAGACACCAAAGTTCCATGAAAGTCAGTCTGCCCGCTATCAGACTTGCCAAAGCCTGCAGAACACGACTCCATCTGTCACTGAATGTGTATGATTTCTTTCTGTTGCTCAGAAAGCTATTAATGCAAAGGGATCTGACAAAAGCTTCTAAACACTACTGCAAAACAAGCAGACAAAAGTAGTTAGTGTATATTAGAGCCAGAAGACATACAGAGCTGGCATTGCACTAACAACATGCTATAGCTCTGTAATTGCTTTTTGACCTTAACCAGACATAGTTGAATCACAAACAAAAACAACAACAACAACATATCAGAACTAGAAAGACCTAGTAGATCTTCTAGTCCACGGTCCTGTCAGGGCTGACGATTGTAAGGTAACTCTTCTGTACCTTTATCAGATAATAGATTTACTGCTACAAGCAGTGTGTGGGGCCTGGTTTCCATCCAGTCTCAGAGTTTAAACAAAATATAGCTGGAAATTCATTTTGGTGAAAATCCCACAAGGCTCACAATAGACACAGACCTTAAAATTCCCGGCAATGCTTCAAGAAGTTCTGCCAGACACACACACACAAGCACAAACTCCAGATACAGATACCTGAATGCAAGAAAAGGCTAAAAGCATTGACTATTACATTCTTCCAAATAAACTGAGTGAAACCATAAAAGTTGTCCATTACCTACAATATCACATAGCTAAACAGATATACAATGTAAAGAGAATGCATGAGAAGCAGAAGTAAAACAAGATTTACTTATTCTATATTTTCTATATATTTTCTTTTTCTAAGTGTCACTCAGTTAAAGGTTTTCATTTTGCTAATATCCAGTCAAATGTGATTACTTACTTCTAATCAAGTTAAAACAAAACACACAAATCAAGTTAAAAGCTGCATTTGAAAGAGTGGTGTTTTAACTTTTGGCTGTACCATATCCTATTTTTAAATAACTGTAGCATACCAAAATGCATGAAGCAGCAGAATTAAAACACTTGTCTGTTCTCATATTTTGATACTTGGTAATAAAGCAGCAATACTACAAGTATTTGTCTTAAGAAGATTTTAATATATGGAGATACTATGTGATAAAAAAATTGCTACAAAGGCCTTTTGGCAGAAAAGGAACTAGTCTTAGAAGTCATTTTTGACAATTCCTTGAATCTAAAAGACCTGTAAGTACTAAAATGTCATCTGTCTATCCATGTGAGATTTAGCCCTGGCAGTGTTTCAAAAGTGAAAAATCATTCTTTTTATATATTTTCCCTACTACAATATATTTTCAAAGCTGTCTAAGAGACTTTATTCCCTTGAGAAGTATAGTATGAAGCATATAGTATGAAGAAATACTTGCCAAAAAAAAACCCAACTAAGTTTGAATAGTCTTAAAAATCAGATACAATGGGTCCAAACGTGAATAAAGCACAAAGTGTGGAATTTGTTGTCAAGAGCTGGCACTTAAAGATTCATAATCATTTCTCCAATTTAGTGATTCATTGCTCTTTTCAAGATAAATGAAAGAGAACATTTGGAAAGAATATAACCTTTCAGTATAAAGTGACCAATTGTTAAGCAATGTCATTACTCTCTGCTTTGTCCCCTCCTCCCCCTTTTTTTTTTTTTTAATTACAAACTATTCCAGAGACAGATCTCTGACCCCTGATTGTTTTTTAAACTGGAAAAAAATTTAAATCATTGGAAAAGTGATAGAAGTCCTTTTGAAGTGATAAACTGCTTTTGATGGCTTAGCTTTGGTCTTCTTCAATAGCCACCAGAGGCACTAATGTCCTTACTAAAGTTGGGGCTACACCAGAAATAATCAAGATTAGTATTTCTTTCTTTTAAATAAAAATAGCCTTCAATTTACGTAAATGAAAACAATTCTTGAGAAATGCTTATTTATCTGCATAGTTTCTGAGCAGTCCAACTGTGATAAATTCTGGCAGTTATGCTCAGCTTATTAAGATATTAAATTAACAAGAAATTATTCTAATAATATCTGATCTTCTGAGCACTTACATATTCTTGGACTTGAATGCTTCAGCAAAAAGCTGCACACTGTGAAGAGAAGCAAGGTCTAAGGTCATTGCTTCTACCTTGGCTTTATGCTGGAAGAGAAGAATAAAGATAAATTATAGCAAGCTTATTTCACAGTACCATGTTGCAGAAAGTGTGTTATGAAACATGTCTGATTCCCTTGTTTAACATTATAAGCCCTCCATGAATACAAATCATGAAAAGGAGTGGATGAGCACAACAGTCTGCCAAGAGACGCACTGCAACTTTGTACCTCTGCTCCAAACATACATTATGCAATACTCAGCTTGACACAAGCTAATTTTAAGGTTAACCTATCTTTTTCCTTCTATTTAGTTGGTGAAACTTGTATGTAAACAGTTATTTTTTATAATTATTCTTAATGCATGCATTTAAAATACTATACCAGTAGAAAAATACTCAGTAAATATTCTTTAAAAAGCAGCTGAATTCACATTCTCCCTAAAACAAGCTACTGTGCATAGCCTCTGACACAAAACATACGTCAGTATAGAAAACATTTGATGAGTCTATACAGTTTTTCATACAATAAAAGTTTCTCTGGGAAGAATATCCTCTGAAAATTGCTTAGGCTCTTGATTGCAATTTTCCACGTAGAAGAGAAAATGCAATCACACAAAAAGACAGGCTAAGGAAGCACAGAAAGACAGCTAGAAGTCCTTCTCTTGCTCTCAAATTCAACCTCTTCATGGATCTCCCCATTTCGTTGCACTTGATGTTTTATATTTGCTTTTTTATTTTGCTAGTCCCCATTCTGGCTACTGCGTTACGAGCTGTGATTAAAGGGAATGTTACTCGAATCACTTTCCTCCTACCCCAGCCAGTCTTAACAGGAAAACACAATAAATACAATTAAAATTGGTTCAACTCCTACCAGAAAATATCAGTTGACGAGGTCGGAAAGGACTAAACCCAACTTTAAAACAAAACAAACCAATAAAACACTACCACTTTTTTTCACCCTCACACCCTGCACTTCATCAAATCTCAGTTCTAATATGTGCATTTAGCTGATTAATATTCTTATGTTATCTCTCCTTGCCTGCATGCACCTCTTCCATCTTCTGCTTCCCTCTTGCTGCTTTTTTAAATAATCTTTGTCTGCCTTTGCTTAAGAAAAATGCAATGGGTCTATCTCCCTCAAAAACACATAAGAAACATCTGCTTAAGCACAAGGGACACCACTCGCTCCAAGCCCTCCTAGCAAAAACAGAGCATACAACATCGAAATCCCTTCAAAGCCGGGTGCACTGTGGGCTGGGGCACGTTCCACTGCTTTTCCATTGCAGTTTCTCCCTTGCAAACTTCGACTCCAGCCCATCTGCTCCACTGAGGTACCCCCTATTTCACAGGTTCCTCCTCCTGGGGTTCAAGGAGGTGGCAGACCTTCAACATGAGCACACTTGCACTCCAATTTTTCCCCATACTTCTTTCTTCTAAGACACAAACAAATAAGTAAAGCTATGAATAAGGCAACATGTTTGCAAGGCAGGTTCCTATCAACGCAATGATATTAGCAGTGACAAGTCTATAAAAAATAAAACCCAAAAAGAAAACATTTTTGCTAAAAGGCATCAAAACTGTAATTGTAATTCAGTCAGAACTGATTGTTAATGGTATGCTACAAATCCTGATCTAATGTGTCATAATTTTATTATGCTGATGTCTCTCACCATTTCTCCTCACATATTTTCAATACTGAATTATGCCTCATTTTATGCTGTGAAAGCTTAAATGGAACTTGTCACTTCCCCAACACAAAAGAGACTGAAGCTTAACACCTCCATCAGGATATCAACCCACAAAACCAGAAAACTGTCAAATTTCTTAAATTCTAACAATAAATCATATTAACATTCCTTCTACTACTTTACTTTCAGTTATATCATTTAAAGGGAAAGTAAATAACAAGGTATTTAGGAGAATTTATAGAGCTGCCCCTACACACACGTCCTAGCTGCATCCCAAAATGCTCTGAGGAGACACTCTGAGCCTTGCGAAAGTGTCAGCCACAGCGACTGTAAAAGTGCTTTGGGGACAACGAGTATTTGCATTTCATGACATCCGAAGGGCAGCTCATGACTAATAATGTCTAGTTATCGACATCCTGCCTCTGAAGTCGCAGTCAAACATGGACCATCTTCTAGTTTGTAACAAGCCCTTTTTCAAAACCAATCTAGTAACATTTTGAAAAGATCCAAAGAAAAGTGTTCATCTCGTTTGAGGATTTTGTTAACTAGTTCTAAAAGCACTTTATCACTATTTCTAGACAATTTCCAATTTCATTGCTCTAATCAGAAAGAGCATCAGAAAGCAGTTTGTGTATTTTTACATGTGAGCAGCTCCTTATATGGAGTAAAACTATTAAAAATACTTAAATTTAACTGCTAATATTTTGCACACATACCAGAAAAAATGCTTATTGAGCCAGAAGCTAACAAGAAAGCAAAAACACCCAGAAAGCAAGCAATTTCACTATATGCAGTGTATTCACTTTACAGCTTAAAAACTGTTTAAAAATGAACACTGCATGGTAGAGTAGCTTGGCAGTAAACATGATTGTGCATTTGTGTCTTGGTATTGAAGAAGGAGTCTTTTTTCATAGTGAATTTTTCATTCAAATGTAAGTGATGATTTACGTTAAATATAGGTAAAGCATAGCTACATTTTCCTGAAGGATTGCAAGGAAGTGAAGAGCAGTACAATAAGTTGAAGCATAAAAGCTTTCTCTGTCATAATATTTATTATAATGGCATATAAAACAGCTGAAATAAATAATAGATGACTAAAAGTAAATTCATATGATAAAGAATCTTTCAGCAGACACCATTACTTCTGACTGCTCTAGTTTTATACAGAGTTGAAGGCTCTTAATAAATATGCTGCAGTCCCTTATCTTATGCGAGTACCAGACATCTTTTGAGGACCTACTTAAACTGCAACATAGTGGACACTGGCTGGTTTACTGTATAATTTTACTTTCAAAAGGTATAGTGCATATATCTTAGATACCTAAAAGCCCTTTTCTCAAAGCTGAATACATAACAGTAAAAACACCTGAATTTAAGGGACTGAAAATATAATAAATTGGGAAAAAATACTTTGATAAAGAAAAATCCTGATGACAAAGTCTTGGAATGCAAATATTTCTGAGAGATGCAGAGCGAGAAACAGCTAATCTTCAGGAAAAAAAGAATTCAACATTAAAACTGCTGGAAAGTCTGTAGAATTATGTTAAAATGGATGAAGAAAACAAATAATCAAAACTCTGTATATGACAAGCAATGCCCAAATAAACCCATATTTCCATGTTGAGAACAAAGTAAAGGATGTGTTAGAAGCACATCTGACAATTTGACACATAGCTTATGACATTCAATAGTCAGTGCTATGCACTATTTATGGAGGAACATAATAAGGAAAAAGGCTTTCACTCAAGATTAGGACTGTAAATATTATTGTCTCTAATGTATTCAACATTTGGTACTTCATGCAAAACTATTTATGTAATGCTAGCTTCATACTGTTGTGTTCTGTGAATGCTCTGAAGTAATTCTCACAGAAATGAATGGGACAAACAAATCACACTGCTTTAAGAATAACCTAAGATACATGCATTATGCTTTATTAATAAGTTTTCTAGGTTACACTTGAGATAATTTAATAAAGTGCACTAGAAGACATTGGCGTAGAACAACTTTGAAGTCACTTTTCCTTTTTTTTTTTTTTTCTTCTCTCTCCATTTCCCCCTTCCCACCCTCATATTATCAAACTCTACACTTCTGCAAGTTTCACTAAGTAATGCAAGAAAACATAGTATTAACAAAAAAATTTCCTGCATATTATGGTTTGTTATTAACCCATATCTACATGGGAATTGCCCTGGTACTTTCAATGAATGTATTATTATGGACAAAGTCTGTATGTATAGTTTCACCTTGCTCAATCTTGTTGAACACAGTTTCATGCTCTGAGAGTTCTCAAAACCTGATTTTATACAGCCTGGATCCTTCCCTTTTCAGGTAACTAGACTCTCATTCTTCTTCACAAAAATAGTTTTTTTTTTTTTTTTTTTGTATAGATTGCGTTTATCGAAGTGAATAAAGACCTAATGGGTCAAAATCAGTCTGCAAATTGTTAGGATCATTGACAATTTTTGAATCTACACTTCACTGTGAAAAATGGATTATTATTATTTTCCTTTTCCAGAAGATTTGCAAACATTGACACAGTCACTATCTTCGTGGCAGCCTCAACAACTCAGAGGAACAAGGGAGAGTTTTAAGAAACTTTCAAGCCATGCAACTGTCTCGGGCCTCTTCTCCAATCCGACGTCCTCACCTGGCTATGCCGGTTCCCCACCCAGGATACTGAAAATGTGAATTGTAGATTATCTTACTAAGCTCAATTCACTTGTAAAAGCAACAGTGAAATCCTGATGCTCCTTTGACTGAACAGTAAACATAAATACAGCAGAAGAACAGTTCACATTTGAAAGGTCAGAAGGACAAAAGAGTGATAAAAAAGATCTGAGACGAAGCAGTCCCATTTCTGAGAATGTCAGTTGCCAACAAGGTCCTTACCTTTAAACAAACCACTGCTGACTTTTTTTTAATCCCTTCCAGCTTAATTTATCTGTAGGTGTTTTTTTTTTTTAAATCACAAATATAGCTTTACAAACGTATAGCTATAAAAACTAGCTATGTTTTCTGTATTTGAGTCAGACATGGAACTGCTTTCCCAGGTCATCAAGCATTTTAGATTACCAATATTTTAAAACCGCATATGTTTCTGTTAGTGTCTTGTATATAAAGAAATACAAAATAGACCTATTCTCTTCACTGTGGTCACTCAGTTACTCAGTTTTTAATTTTTTTCTTTTTTTCCTAAACGTTCAGAAATTAATACCACTACAACCTTTAAGTTAGTTTACTTTTAAAACAGATCAATATCTCTGAAAATTACAGCCTGCAATGTCTTCAGAAGATAGTTAGGAAAAAAAGAAAACTATCTGCATTTCTTTTTGAAACCAGTATCTGCAGAGAAGCAC